GGATAGGAGTTCGCCAAAAAGTGAATTTAATTAATTGTAACTTAACCACAGGTTTCGCAGTATCATCTAGCTATTTAATAACATGTTTTATCAAATTTAAATTCGGTAAAAAAAGTCGGAACTCAAAGGGTTAAATAATTAATTGTCCAATAATTTGACAATGTTATCTAATATAATTAAATGTTGATTAAAAATGTAGACGAATAGAATTTAAACCATACATTATAATTGTATCTTTATCATTATTTAATTGTATTTGTTTATAATATGATAAACAAATCGATATATATTTACATATTATTATATATAAATGTTGATTATTTGAATAAAATCAAATTAAAACCTTCTTGGGACCATATTTGTAAAACAAAAACAAAAATTTAAACACATACTGAAAATATGTTTCTAATCGATTAATTAACATTGTTAAATAAATAAGTATTGTTCATATAATATAAATTTATAATTGTTTTGTGAAATACTTAATGTATTAACTAAATATGTTTTTAATAATGATAAATTAATAATATGATCACTAAGAAATAAATCAAGTTTTGTTTTTTGCATTTTCATGTTCGATTCTATATAAAATTATATTATCAATTGTTTTTAATATAAAATATTGAACTAATCGTAATCAAAATGAATAATTTAGACATTTGTTTAATAAATAAATTTTTATATAATGGATACCAAATATATTCAGTATAACCTGAGATTTAATTTTGTTTTAGATTTATTTTCATAGAAATATTCGAATAATTCGTTTTATTTTCGTAAGAAATCATAATTATTATTTCAAAAATAGATTATATAATTATTTAACGATTTGACTAATATTTATTATAAAATTAATGAATAATTGTTGTATAATTCATAAATGAACAGTATTGAAAAGATAGCTACCTAAGATTTTTATCAGACGGAAGAGAACAAACTCGGATGTCTTTTTTGTTTGATATTATATTAGAAAAAAAATTTTTTTTTTTTTTTATAACTTATTGTCTTCGTAATACATTCAGAAACAAATTAATAAAAACAATTTATTGAGTTTCATACTCCACCATGAAGATCATAACCCAGTGACTTCTCTACCGGTTGCAAGTCCGGGAAAATGAGGAGCGTTAGATGAAAGGGATGCAGATATCGCCGTCTGTAAAAAGAAAAAGAACGAAAGAAACCAACCATGAACGATCGATACCGAAAACCATACCGGCTTGGACGTCGCTCGGGTGAAGAAGGTCCGCGTCCTCTGTTGTGGAACAAGGACAGAGTCGAAAAATTGGCTACTAAAACAACCATCCATACAGGAACAGCAACATCAAAGCATACAACAGCATCATCAACGGCGAGAAATAGCGCTTTATGGCAAGCATCAAGTACAAGAACAACAAATAAAACAACGAAAAATACATCAGCATCACCACCAACAACAAATGGAACCACAACAACAGCGATCAAATTTGACTCACAAAAACTGAAGATGACGAAAGACATTTTCACTGTTGGCACTTGGAATGTTCCGACATTATGGGCAGCTGGAAAACTAGAACTACTAAGAAATGAAATGAAGCGTTACAGATACGATGTCATCAGCATCTCAGAAGTGCGTTGGACAGGGAAAGGTGAAACATCAAACGGCTACTTCTTCTGGTCAGAAGAAAACAACACACACACTAAAGGTGTTGGAATGCTACTCAGTACAAAAGCTAAAAAGTCATTCCTGAGCTATAATCCAATTAACTCAAGATTAATTACGGCAAGATTCAATGCAACATCATTTTAGGTAACAATAATCGACGTGTATGCTCCAACATCTGATGCATCTGAGGACGATATCGAAGCATTCTATGACAAGTTGGAAAATGCGGTAGCAGAAATACCTAAAAAAGACGTGCTTATCATAACTGGTGATTGAAATGCGAAGATGGAAAATTATAATACAGGTTGGGAATCCATCATGGGTAAATATGGTGATAGCACAAGAAATCAACGTGGCGAATATCTTTTAGTTTTCAACATTACACAATGTATTCATTCGCAACACAAGATTTCAACAAAAAACAAATCGGAAATGGGCATGAGAGTCACCGGATGGCGTGCACAAGAACATGATTGACTTTATCATCATACAAAAACGCTGAAAAATATTCGTCATCAAATGTAGAACGTTTCAAGGTGTTGACAGCAGCTCTGACCATTCCTTCGTTTTGTGCAATATCAAACTAAGATTGAAAAATCTGTCCAATAAATCAAAACACAACCATCGACCTGACATGAACCAGCTAAAAGATCAAACAATAAGAAAATCCTATCAAGCAAAACTAGAAAACAACTTAAACAGCATCTGCTCAACCTGCAACCTCGATGACTATGCGTTACAAATTGAAAAAGCAGTAAAAAAAAGTCCTGGATTTCTGTTCAAACATTTAATTTAGTAGATGAAAAACGAAAAGCAAAATATCTATCAATGACTCTCGACGAAAAGTATAAAGATCTCTGTAACAAGGTGAAAAGATCGGCAAGACAAGACAAGGACAAATGGATACAAGAACAATGTGAAGAAATTCAAAACGGATTGCAAGTTGGCAACAGCAAGCAAGCATACCATTTGGTGAAAATATTAAAAAGAAAATACCAACCAAAATTAACTGTCATAAGAAACCAACATGGCGCAATGGTAAAAATCAAAAGAAGGTATAATGCAAAGGTGGACACAATACCGCAGTGGTTTGTATGAAGACAAAGGAAATGAAGAAGAAATGCTGAAGGAACTCGAACACATAACTCCTTCTTACGACAATAATCCAGATGGCATACTATATGGTGAAATAGAAGACGCAATAAGTAAGCTCAAGAAAAACAAAAGTCCAGGAACCGATGGAATCACAGCTGAAATGTTTCAAGCTGGAGGAGAATACCTGGCACGCAAAATTTACGAACGGTGGAACAGAGCATGGAGAGAGAAAACAATTCCGAAAGAATGGGGAAGGTCAGTCTTAGTGCCGATACCCAAGAAAGGGAACCCTAGTGAATGCTCAAATTATAGAACAGTAGCTCTCATAGATCATATGGGAAAAGTTCTATTAATGGTGCTGCCAAAGAGACTCAAGTACCATCTGGAGCCATATCTGACAGAAGCACAGTTCGCCAAATTTTGATACTCAGACTTCTAGCAGAGAAGGCAAAACGCAACGGCAAGAAGATTTATGACTGCCTCATCGACTTTCAAAAAGCATTTGACACAATCAAATACAAGGTTATATGGGCTGTTCTAAGATCGTATGGTGTTGATAACATTAAGGTGGTTACATTACTATATAGAAAAAATTTATGGAAAATCTCGATCAGCAGTTCAAATAGGCATAGATATGGGTGAATAGTTTCAAACAAGTGTTGGAACCAGACAAGGTAATCCTTTGTCACCACTTCTGTTCATCGCATATTTGGAGAGACTAATGAACAAAATAACAGCAGAAGACAATGGTGTCAATGTTAGTGGAACATTTATAAACAATTTAAGATTTGGGGGCAACATCAATCTTCTGAATGAAGACTCTATCTCACTTCATAGACAAATTGAACAACTTATAAAAGCAGCAGAAGCAGCGGGACTAATGGTAAATACAAGTAAAACAAAAACGATGGTGTTCGGAAACAACACTATTGACACACAAGTAAACTTAAATGGCAAAACCATTGAAAACGTTGAGGAGTTTGAGTATCTGGAAAGCCTGCTAGCCTGTGACAACAACTACTCAAAAGAAATCAAAAGAAGAATCAACAAAGCAATCGGTGCAATGTCAAGCCTGAAACATATATGGAGTGCGAAGAGACTGAAAGTCGAGAGCAAACTTAGGCTTTTAATTACTTGCGTCTTCAGCGTACTACTATATGCTTGTGAAACATGAACACTGAAAGAAGCTGACAAGAAGAAACTACTTGCATTTGAAATTAGGTGCTACCGAAGAATACTGCGAATCCGTTGGAAGGATATGGTGCGAAAGATTGACATCAAGAATCAAATAGTGGCTCATAGAACAATAATCGCCACCATTAAAAAAGAAAATGAAGGCTGTTCGGTCACATTTGCAGAATGGATAATACTAGACTTTTAAAACATATAGTATTCTTCAGAATGAATGAAAAGTCCAGAAGAGGACGACCATGCAGAGAATGGCCAGATGACATTACAGAATGGTGTGGTTATAGCTGTCAAGACCAGGTCGACCTCGCACAGAGCAGGTACCAGTGAAAAAATATGGTTCGAACAATGATTGGCCCCAACGGGCGATAAGCCTAAGGAATTTCAAGATCAAGATTGAGTTTCAATGTAATTTTTGTTTTGTCATATTTTGTTATAGAGAAAGATTAAGCGTATAGTTCAATCTACGATAAAAATTATTTTATTTTTTCACATGTCAATATTGACCGAACAAAGTTCCATCTCTATTCAGTCAAATTCTATAGAATTCTATTGATTTTTAGAAAATTTTCGGACATTTTCTCAATATTTTCTTTCAATTAATCCTTTGACGGGCGGTGGAACATATATGTTCCACTTTTTGTTTTCGATTGAAGAACTACAATAAACTAGAATAAACGAATTTGGTAGAAAGAACGCTGGTACTGTAGTGAACTTGTTGCTTATTTTGTATAGTACGTGGTTGTTACATCATATATTTGATACAAAACAAGAGTATGAGCGCGGATGTAAGTGTGAATAATTTATTCATACCCAAGAACACCCACAACCTCGTGCATGATGATCTGGATCATAATATATTTCACTGCATTATCGACATCGATAGAACCTAGCTATCCTAAATTCGCCCGTTAAAGGGTTAATATGAAACATTAACACGAATACTCTTTGCAATATTTTATGTCAATTAAATTCAAATCGTGGTCACATAGTTTTTTCATGATTATATTTCTTGCTTTATTTTGTGTAGCATTATTTTATAGAAAAATTACCGTTAAAATTGAATTTCTTTAATTAATTAATTCAATAAGATATTTTGTCAATAAATCAGAGTAGATCTTATTAGTTCATTGAATTATTAATTCTTATTGTTCAAATTGATGTGCCAATTAAATAGAAATGATTGCAACATTGACATTTCAACATGGACAAATTCTATTAACGTTAGGTTTTTTTTCTAAAAGATGCCCTGTAAAATTGTCTAGAAGGATTATGATGAAAAATTTCATTGAATATTTTAAAGATTTTCATCAAAAACTAGATGTTTCGTTTTCTCACCATCAACAAATCGTAAAAAACTTAAATCTATTCTTTTCCTAATATTCGTCGTAGAATTCTTTTATATTTTGACATGGATAAGGGTTCTTTGAATTACACCAATCAATTTTGTTCAAATAAAAATAGATAAAAATCTCCTTCATATTGTTATTGTTCATGGTAACAATTAGAATAAGGTTGACAAATCTCAACAAGCATACTTAATAAAAGATCGATGACTTTCCGAAGTACCATTATTAAACTCGTTAAGTTCCTCTATATCGAATAATATCAATAAGAACATTATTTATCAATATGTCAAAACACAAAAAGATTTGAACAAACAAATAAATGAATGATGAAAAAAAATTAATTTTTTTATTAACAAAACGATTACCTCACCCACACCCTGAACAATATAATAGTAATCATGTTTTTCCTTAAGATTCATCATTTTTAACGTTAGAAAAACAAAATCAGTAAAACAATTCAATGAGAATTTTTCATTGACATTCTTTTACAGAATTCGACAATGAACCTTTTAGAAAAAATTTCATATAATAGGATTTTTTTTGATAGAATATTTTCAAAAAATTCAATATTGTTATCATTTTGACTAATTCTATATATCTTTAAATTTAATTGTTCTTTTTTTAAGCTTTACTAACATAAAAACAAAAAGATTCGACCGTTTTACTTTTAGGATAGCACAATTTTTAATGTTCTGTAAATATTTTAGCTCTTTTAGCATATGGATAGATGAACGCAAAGGATTAAAATAAGTAAATGATGAAAAATATTGAAGTGATAATAACTTGAAAAGCTTAGAAGTAAAAGAGAATAAATTTAATTTCTGATGGCTTAATTATCTGTAGTAAAAATAAATTATTCTAAAATGGAATTCAGTAGTAATCTCGATTATGTTATCTGTTATCTATAATAATACCAAAAATATATTAAGTATTCATTCAGATTGAATTTAATTATTTTTCTTCTCGAACTTTTAAATAATTATCTCTACCTGTTAGAAAAGTTTTCAAAGTTTTAAAAAGATATACAACTATTTCAACAAATGCAGAAAGTTGACCGTTGATTATCCGTAGTTACCTATTTTACATTTAAGTTAGTCATCTATCTGTAGAATTTAAAAACTTACTGACAAGAGATAAAATAAATTTTATATTTCATCTTACAGAAATATATATTCACGATATCATATTTAAATAATTGTTAATAATAATTTTACTTAATTTAGCTGCTCAATGAACAAATTGACAAATAAAACTGAGATTTTTATCAATTTGTGCTAGAATATATATTGATAATGAAAAGTAATTAACTGTTCTTATATATATATATATATATATTGACGTAATAGATAAAAATAATTTTTCTCTTTAAAACATATTGGAATATTAGTCCTAAATATATTATTAATTTTATCCGATAAATGAATAATAAATGAAAGATAAGATTTTTATTGAATTTTATATAATAATTTTTGATAATCTTGATCATATAAATAAACTAATAAAAAAAGTATTTGATTAAACGAATCAAATTATTTTCTTAAACATGAACGAACTAATTTTTCTTATTCAATTAATATTAAATTAAGATTTTTATCAAAAATTATATTCTTCTATTAAATTTTTAACTGAGAAATATTTTAATAAAATATTTTATCTTTCAAATGACATTGTAAAAAAAAAGAAATATGTTATAGATAAAGAAACAAATAAATTTCTTTTCTTTTCTTTTCTTTTTGTTTTTCTTTTCTTTTGTTTTGTTTTATTGTTTTTAAATAGAATTTCTTTATTTCTAAATAAGAATTAAATTTTTTCCGATAGATTTGTTGTTGATGTAGATGGAATAGAAGTAGAATTTGTTATAGAATTTTTTGTATTTAAATTAACATAAAGTGGAATTAATCGTGGTGGAGGATATTCAGCTCGACCATCGAATTCTGGTGCTCGTTTTTCTTGTTGTTTTCTATTCCACATATCTCGTAATGAATTAGCTAAAAAATGAAAACAAAATTATTTGAATATTATTCAACTTTTATTAATAAATAATTAAACCTGCAACAACTTGTTTAACATCAGTAAATTCTGTCCATATTCGACCATTTATTTTTTCATTATTTTCTTGAAAATTTTTGTCACGTTTAATCATTATTGTTCCAGTCGATGATGTTTCATCAGTAGGAAAAACAAACTCAATTTTATTACTAAAATAATATATATTAATAAAAATAATTCTTAAGATATTTATGTTTTTTTTACCTTTGATAAATTGATGAATCATTTTCAATGTCAGTTTTTCGTCGATCGAGAATATTTTGATAAATATGACGATGACTATCTGATGTATCTTTATAACCACGAACAAGATATTCAATTTCACGCCATAGAAAACGATATGCTTCATCTCTATCAAATTAATATTAACATAATTATTTTACCAATAACAATATTATTAAACGTTTTATAACATTTAATCGCTTAATTGAACTTAAAAAACATTAAATTTTCGTATGATTATACTAACTTCGATTTGAAATGATTGGTACAAGAGATCTAGTCATATATATACTATATCGTCTATCGATTTTATGTAAATTTTAAATCATTATTTTTAAAATATTTCTCAAGTCTTATAATAAAAAAACAATTAAGAAATAGTCAACTTTAATAGTCATTATGAATATTTAATGATATTAAGTTTTGTTCTATACAATGGTTAAGTCGAAATATTTTATAGGCTATGATGCGATAATCTTTTTACAAAATATTCGCTCACTTTTTTGTCTACTCACAGCCAGAATCAATTGATTATTATATAAATAAATCGAAAATCGTGTCTATACAAAGTCAAATAACGGTTTTAATATATTAATTAATTAATGTCTTAGAGTTTCTTCAACTGAACATTATTTTAAAATATTAATTTCTCTACAAAATGCGACATAACAATAAGCGAGAAATTATCTATGCATTTTCACTAAACAAACTAATTTAATTCGTTGAAGTATCAATGTTCCGAATAAGAAATACTTTTTTTCAAATCTCTTAAATATTGAATAACTCTCGAACGCGAAACGATATTAAAGATCGATTTTCGCTATTACATCGAAGACATTTCGATACATACATACATGTAAAATTCATAGCTAATAACTCTTTGACGAGCAGCACACATTATAAAGTATACATTTTTTAAGTTTCAGAATATTTCAATAACTTGAGAATACAAAAAATATATCGAGATGTGGTTTTCTCTATAATATATAAGAGATTTCTGTGCATACATCTATAGAACAATTTTAATCCTAATACGGCGCCTCAGATAATAAGTCTGATGTGATTTTGGACCAGCAACTTTATTCTATAAAGGAGAAGAGTAGATAATGCCCTTTGGGATCGTCAAAATATTTCGATTTTCCGTAACGAAATCAAGTTAAGAGTGATGCCTAATGATATTCGAAAGATTGATTTTGTAAAAACTCTCCTCAATCAAATTTCTATCCACATCCATACTCCCCCATGGACATGTTCAAAATACTTCTTCGTTATATTCGTAGAGGAAGAAGTACGAGCTTGGGTCGAAAAATAACTTTGAAGATTTTGAAAAAATTTTGATGAAAATATGCACAATTGACAATGTCCATGTTAAACATATAAAATGTCAAAGAAATTTAATCTATTGGCTGAATCATGAGTCTTAAAGAGTTACGTATATGGATATTATTCTTTCAAATATTGATTTTAAGTATATAAATGTTTTAAAATCTGTCATAGACAAGAATTATAGAATAAAGTTTTATTTACAAAAATGAACCATTAAAATCTTTTTTGTATATTGAATTTTATATGTTTCAATCGAAAATAAAAAAAGATAATACTTTCTACAAACAATATATTTGACCTTTTGAAAAAATTTAATGATAGTTATATTATTTTAACTCTGAAAAAATTTCTAAATATATATTGAAAAAGAGAAAAAAAGTCTGATTCGATATTTAATCTGTTGTCTTTAAGTGACCGAAAAGTGAGTGAAGATTTTTTGGCAAGACTTTTGTATCATAGGTTTAAACAAATCAGTAAACTTTGATAGAGTTCTCAATCAATTTTTTAAATTTTGACGACACGATTTTTCTCTCTATTTGATCGATAACCATAATTTATGCTAAATTCCATCCATATATATATATAAGAGACTTATAAATCATTCTATAAAATTTTTCACAGATCATCGAATCAAAAAAAATCTTAGAAAAAAGTTCGAAATACAAATATTTTCATTAGATCGTTACTTATAGATTTGAATGAAATTTTACACAAAAACAATTATTTTACTTATATGCAGAATTATCTTGACAGTCGTCAAGATTTAAGGGAAGATGCGCCTTTTTTCATAAATATTTCAGCAAGAAAAAAAAAAAACAAAACAATAAAATGTAAGAAAAACAAAAGAAAATTTTTTTTAAGATTGTTGTTTATCGTTTACGACTCTGCTAATATAAAATAAACGATCGTTTAAATACAATCGTTTATTCTAATATAAAATGTAAACTTTATTTACTTTTTTGCTTTATTGGTGACGATTTTCGTTGTATATTGAAAATGATTTGATACTGGTAATAGTTCACCATTTCTTTCCATATTATCAACATGTTTAAGAGCTGTTAGACATTTTGATATATCATCATCTGACAATTTTTCACGTAATATTAAATTTGTTAAAAAATTCATTGGCTAAAATAAAATAAAATATAAATAAATAATAAATAATAAAGAAAAAAGAAAAAAGAAAAAAGAAAAAAGAAAAAAGAAAAATTAATTCTTATACCGATGGCATATTAAATAGAATTGTTTCATTTGTTAATAATGGACATCGACGTGTATGACGTTCAAGAAGTCGAAGAGCTAAAAACAAAAAAGAAACAATTAAACGAATTTTTATTCAATATAAACAAATTTTTACAATCTTCAATTGGAATTTTTCCACTTGTCATTGTTTCTACTGGATAAAGTGTTGTTGTACGTATTATATTTATAAAACTCTTTAAAAATAAAAAACAATAAAATATAGAATAAAATCTAGCAAAAAGAAAAATTACTTCAACACGTAAATCTTTTTCTAAACTATCATCATCAATTTCATCGATTAATTCTTCTAAATCATTAATTGATATATTATCTTTTTCATCAGTTACAACATAACAAGGACCCATTTTACTCATTGGATTATTCGAACCAAATGATATTGAATGTATCATTAATTCTTGATTATGTGATATTATCATATGAGAAAAAAGTCTATTTGCTGATGTTGTTGTTGTTGTTGTTGTTAATGATGATAAATCACTTTCAGATCTATTAAAACAATTTTCATCACCATATTCATTTATATTTATTGCACATTCATTTGGTAAATTACCAAGTTCAAGTAAAACACATTTACCACTTAGTAAAAAATTAGTTAAACATGCTGATTCACGACTATTTACATCTAATGGAGAAAAACGATAAGCTGAATATGTATCATAATAATCTAAAAATAAAAATTATTAAAAATAAATTATATATTTATTTCATAGAGAAAAATTTTCAAGTTAGATTTTCGACTTTTCTATATTATGAAAATAATTCGTTAGTAATCATCATTCGATAACTTTTAAATTTTACTTTAAATATTTTTATTTATTCCTCTTTCCATTATATATATATATTGAATTTAATAATATTTATACATAGAAAATAATAGAAAAGTCTAATGGTCTATCAGAAATCTATAGAGACCCTAACTGATGATTTTTCGTTCTATCTTATATGTCAATAATAATGTTTGATATAATCAACTTTCAATAAACTTTTCTTCAAGATCCTCTATAAAAGAATAATAAATAAGACACATTGATCAAACGACAAACTAGTCGATTAGAAATTCATCTCAATATCAATTTTCATTTTTACTCGTTTTATCTATATTAGGATTTATTCTCCAATACGAAATAAGATCGACAATACTATCAATACTATCCAACGAATCTCTACGGAAATTAATAATAAATTTTAGGATTTTTATTATTGAAATAAGTATTTTTTGTTAATTTGTATATATATATATATATATATACAAGAAAAGATAAAATATTTCGACTATTATTATTAAATTGTTCAATAGAAGAAGAGTTTTTTAATCTGTTTAGATTGATATTTTAAATGTTGTTGACTTGAGAAAAGTTGGCTAACCTTATCAAAATGTTCGATTATTCTGTTTAGATTTTATAGTTTTATTATTATAATTTTGGAGAGAAAGTAAACTTTGAAATATAATATGCCTTTCTCTAATAGAGAATTAAATAAAAATAATCAAACAATGTCAATGTTAGGTGAATAAGATTAGCAAGGAACGAACTTATTATAAATCGTCTTTTATGGAACAGATTTATTACAATAGATTTCGTTGATTTAACAACAATATATTGACCATTTTAAAATAATCATCTAGATTATTGATTATTTTAATTAAAAGATCAATATATATATATATATATATATATATACATTTTTCATATAGATAATATATCATCGTTTGTTTTTTTATAATATGATTTGAGAAAAATAAAATAATTAATATGATTGAAATACGGTTTTTAATGATTGTATATATTATATTTAATGAGGATAATTCCAACGAAAAATAACATTATTCCGTACATTTACTGTTTTCAAGAAATTACATAGGTACATTGTTTTCCCTGTGAATAATCATCATCGCAATTATATACGAAAAACATAGAAATTTAACGTTTTCATAATAAATTTAATTCTTAAATTCGTGTTGACGTTATGTTATGTTATGTTATGTTATGTTATATGATTATCTTTTATAATAATTTGTTCATAAACTTGAATTAAATAAAGATAAGAAGAATAATAAATAAATTCTCAATTTCTCTCATCAATATTAATCTTAATATTAAAATTGTTTTATCTAAAATATCTCGTAGAATATCAAATTTGAGTAGATTTCATTGAAAAATATTAAATTGAAATAATTTTAATCTTTCCTTATCTATATATTTCTATACATATTTAGATTAAGAAAAATATTCTATTAACGAAATTTTCAATATATTCAAATAGAGAAAAGTCGAATGTATTTTCGAGTATAAAAATTTTGTCAATGATATAAATATAAAAATTTACTTTCTGGATCATAAGAAAATGCACTCCATTTTAGAACAATTGTTTCGACATCATCTTTTATTTGACGCCAATATTTTAATGGTGCTCGTTCACGTAAACTATGATGAACTTCAGCTGGATGAACAATATCAACATCATAATTTAAACTTGAACGTGAAGCAACATCTTCCTAAATAATTTATATTCAACATTTTATTTAATAAAATATTTTCTTTTTTTGTTTTACTTTCATTGGAATTCCAGTTACAGTTGTAAGTGCTAAATTATGTTGTTTTAATAGCATTTGTAACATTCGTGTAAATAACATTTGACCAGATTGAGAATAATAAAATGTACGATGAAGAATAGAAGTTATCTGGTTAACAAAACAAAACAAAACAAAACAAAAACAAAATCATTATAATTATCGATTATTTTAAAATAATAAATATAATTATTTATTTACTGGATGAAATTCTGGATTTGATGTTGGAACAGATTGATCAAGTGGTCGAACATCAACTAATGTTAAATCACATTTTGTTAATGGAACAAAACTAAATAATAGTTTAAAATAGAAATGAGACTTTGCTTTGTTTTTCGATAATAATCTCTAATTAAAAGATATTTTTATAAATAGTACTTGATAGAACAAATTTAACATTCAATAATGTAATTATATTCTTTATATAAATACTAAATAGTAAATCATCGATACAAGATACATTGGAATACTAATATTTATCTATTGATACAATATTAACAGACTAACTCTATGAAATATATCATATATTTATATTAATATGTTTAAATACTTCAGTGAATATTAATGTCAATATAATGAATCGGACATGTCGTTTTATCAGACAACTGAAACTCTCTATATTCTTCTCAATACTAAAGAAATATATTAATTAACTAATCTATGAAATCTTCGAATATTTTTTTAGTTTTTATTTCATTAGTATCTTTCATATGGTTAAAGACTCGAAATGTATCGGAGAAAAATCTGAAGGTTTGACTGGAAAATAAATGAAAGAGAATTTTCATAGATAAGAGTCGCAACTAAGACATTTAATGAACAATTTATTCTGTTACTTTATGTAGTCTATGATGGTTTTTATACAATATTTAATTTCTAGTCATCTCGGCATGTACTTGAATAAGAATTCATAAGTGAAAAATAAAAGTAGAAAAATATGTTAATAGAATATGAATTTCTTTACCAAGATAAACAAATAGTTCATGCAGATGAAACACACAAAAAACAAAACAAAAAACGTTTAACTAAGTTTAAGTATGATGAAGAAGAGTTCTAATTAAGTTGAGTATACTTTATAATTTTGAATAATCATAGAAATAATAATAATCTTATTATTGAATATATTCTCAAGGAGATAATATTCACTTATAAATACTTTTCATCATTTATAATAAACTAAATAAAAGTTTACAAAGAATTTTGATCGATTTTCGCTTAGTAAAATCATTCTCTTCGATGTTAACATATAATCAATATTTTATCTTCTAGATTAATGAAATTCATAGTACATAAAAAGAAGAATCCTAAACTTCAAGAATATCATCTCCTCAATCTTCACAATGAATAAAATATTAGTCTTTATATAAAATAATATAATTTCTATTGATATTTTTCAAGTTCAGTTTTTTTTTCTTTTTTTTTATTTTATTAATATTTTAAACAATATTGATAAATATGATAAATAGAATTTGTTATTTTCAAGTATTTTTTTCTAATAAAAAATTAATTTTAAAAAATAAAATAAAATATATACTCAGTCATTTCAAGTGCCATATGATTATGAGATTGATGAAATATTTGAGCATCTTTTTCAATTGTTTGAATACGTTTACTAAAAATGAAAAATGAAAAATAATAAAATAATTTAAATAAATAACCTATTAAAAGTTGAAAAAAGAATAATATGTCCACTATTTGTATAATCTAAATCAGTTGGAATATTTTGTTTTTTTGAACGTGTACATAAAGCTGTTATGCCTTCATTAAGGGAATGTTTTAAAAGATCATCATCATTTACTGTTGAACGTTCATTTGGTGGTTGAATACCAGAAAAAAAATCCATACACTATATTATATATTATATATTATATATTTATTCATTTTTATTTATTAATAAAAATAAAAACAAAATTTTTACTTGTGAAAGATTTTTATATCGATTCCAGCATGATGATTGATCACGTTGATCAATTCCTGTAACTATAAGTGTTATCTAATTTAAAAATAAAAATAAAAATAAAATATTTAGAAAAAAAACAAACAAAATATATAAAGTCTTACAAGTGCATCATCTTCAAATATATCAAATAAAATTCGACAATATTCCAGAACACATTCAACAACACATGTCCATAAGGATTTCATACCAATTGTATTTTCATTATTTATTTGATCTTGTTGTTGTTGTTGTTGTTGTTGTTGTTGATCAGTATTTTGAACATTAACATTAAATGTAACACCAGATGGACGAGCAAAAAAACTACTATGATCAAGAATTAATACAGTTTTACTTCTTTGATGATTCATTTGATTAAATAAATAATATCAGACAAGCAAATATTATCTGCAAGAAAAAAGAAAGAAAATTTATTCTATGATTCATCTTTTTTTTTCTCATTGGAAGTATAAATAAACCATTTAAAATATATTTCGCCATAGACTATCAATAAAATTGATTGTAGCGCTCAAAGATTTGTTTAATAAATAATGTTTGTAGTTAAAATTTCTTTTTATTATATATATAAATATAAACAAACAAAATCTTCGGTACTACTGCAGTTTAGTCACACCATCACCCTCACCCTCACCCTCATGCTGATTGCTGCGTTCAATGCACTAATCAGTATAAGGGTGTAACTAAACTGCAGAAGGAGCGAAGTTTTTCGATAAATATTTTATTCAACAGAGTAAATTATTCTGAGCAAGATGAATCATCTTTAATCTTTGTGTGACTTTTCTCGATCAAACTATATTTTCACTTTCTAGAAGGTTCCAAAACGTCAGACATGATAAAAAGAGTGAAATTAAAAAAAGTAAAAAAAAATGTTTCTATGACTTTCTGAAAATTGAATAATAAAATATTTTCCTGAATGTTTCAAATGAAATTGCGAAATCTATTTTGCTAAAATCTTTGAGTCTATAAATTCTGATAGAGAATCGTTTAAGCTACAGTAATATTTATTTTCTGATTGTTGATATTTATTATCATCGAGAAGAAAACTTAACAAAATAACTGTTTGTAATTTATTTTTTTCCCTATAGATTTTGTTTAATCCGTCAAACAGAAGAAAATGAAATTTTACTGTAAAATAATTTTTTTTTGTTTTAGTATTGTTCAAGGTTCATTGAAGAATTTTTTGTTGTAATAATCATGATTATTGTTTATTGCTAAGTATGCATAATACAACTCTTTTAACAACTACTTTTTTTTTTCTCAACAATCCGATAGATAAAAAAAGAATAACAACAACTTGATGATCAAGTAATATATTATATTATATTTTAATTTTTCTATGTTTTTATTTCTATCATCTCATGTTCATTGTATCGTAATGAATTAATTAATATCTTTATGTTTATTACGTAAAAATGATTTAAATAAAATTTCTCGTAAAACATTAAGATTTCAATGACAACAATTACAAAATAATAAAACAAAAATATTCAAGAAATTGTTTGAACAAATACTGAAAAATTACATTTAATTAATTATTGATTCATTTAATGATTCTATATATATATATTTTTTTTGTAAATTTGTCAACTTTTTATGAACGTTCTCATGATTTTTATAGACCTTGGAAAAGTGTTCCATTATTAAAATGATTTTCAAATATAGTTAAATAATAGAACAGTAGGAATTGTGTCTTCTTCTTTAAGACGATTAGCAACTCAATAAAGAAAATAAAACAATTTTCTTAGTATAATTTAATATATTCAGTTATATATATTATTATTATTATTTTTTTTTTGTTACAAAATTGATCTTCTTCTATTTTTATCATTGTGTTTTTAGGTAATAAAATATATGATTTATTAATTGTTTTTATTTATAAATATATATTATTAATGATAAAAAATATGAATTTTATTATTCTAGAGAATATTAATAAAGTTAAAATTGGTCAATTTTTATTTCTACGGATAAATGAAAAAGACATTATGATTTTTGTTCTTCCAATCATAAAAATCTTCGAAAGTTTCTTATCATAAGATCAATTAATTATTAAACTAAAAATCAATTTTAAACATGTAAAATACTTTTAAGAAAAAGTCGTCAAAAATTTCTATTGGAATTTTTATCCGATTATTTAATAGTTGGTTGTTGTCGTCAACTATAACTGGAAACACTTTAGAATGATTAGTCTTGTAGTAAATTAACATTTGTTCTTTCAGTTTATTTATCTTCTATATATGTTTAATCTTTATTAGGTAGATAATATTATTTATAATCTCATAGTCTAGATAAAAATCTTCAAAATATTAATATTGTTAACTTTTTCTTGTTGAATTATAATCATTTAAATGAACATTCAGCTTATTGGAATATATCACGAAAAAAATTGCAACAACCATTTTTACCCTTAAATTCTTGTCAACAATAGTCCTTACCATTTTCATCATATATTTAAAGTTTCCATTTAAACGAATGTTTCTCTTCTGAGATAACATTTTCACAAAATACATTACTTCCACATAACTTTCAAAAATAGTTCATTATTCAACTAAAACTTTCAAAATATCATAACCAACATGAAAACTATTATTAGAAATTATTTTAGATCTTTCTTGTGATATTCAGAAATACGCTGAAAATACATTTAAATGATTACAATTTGACAAGAAAAACTTAACAATACAAATCTTTTGACGATTTTTATCTTTGCTATGGGTAAAATATAAAAGTCAAACAGAGATTATCAGTCAAATGAGTTCTTTGGTAATAAGAACGATAAAATACAACTGCAGATCCAAATAGAGTTTCAAACACCAACACTATTATAGGCAGAATTTTTCGTCTTGCAAAAATCTTTGTAAAAAGAGTATATAGATATCTATTATAATACACATAAATAAATAAGTTAAATAAAACAAAACAATGAATATTTTTGTAATTTTTCTTTAATTAGTCAAATGGGAACTGAGAACAGAAATTAACTTTCGAACTTAAAATAAGAATTATTTAAAATTGCCT